TAGGGCTGGGCATTCATCGCGGCATTTTTTCCGGAAATTCGCGCATCCATCGCGGCATTTTTTCCGGAAATTCGCGCACCCGACAAAAAAATGCAGAAATTCGCGCACTTATTCGCGGCTCGTGTTTATTTTTAGATTTACAACAGGTTAATTTATGTACAGTCTTAGTATCTTACAAGCACAATAAATTCAGATTCCCTCATTGTTATGATACAGCATGTTATACATACTGAGGTTTCCACTTTTTATACAACGTCTGTCGTCACGGAGAACCCCAGAGTACTGACTGAAGGATCGCTCCGCGGCGACACTGTTAACCGGCACGCTCAGACAACTGAGAGCGATGCCGGCCAAGTTCGGAAATCTGGGTGCTGCATTTACCCAGAACTCGACTGGATGCAAGGACGCTCTAAGCTCTTCCGGGCGTGAAAGATACAACTGGAGCTCCGCTTTGGCTAGGTTGTCGTCCTCGAACCATCTCACGTTCTTGATGACGAACTCAGCAGGAATCTCAGTTGTACTCAGGTTGGACGGATCGAAAACACGGCAGGCACGAAAAAAGTCAGCGGCCGGTTGCCTGAACTTGGCCGTAGCCTCCCCCGAAAGATAATTTCGCAATCTTTCAGCAGATTTTTGGAGCGCGATCCTGGTAACTTCGAGGTTTCCTTCATGAGCCGCAAAAACTTCCAACCATTCGATGAGCAGGGCCATGTCTTCAGAAACTAGGTGCGCGCTCACTTCGTTGCTTTCATACTTCGTTAAAGCTTCCATGATACGAGGGGCGTATTCCCTCAACTGGGCTAGCTGAGTTTCGACGCAAGGGGAGGCGCAGAGGTCTCTTGTTTCCGAAAGCGAACTGCTCGAGCTCCCTTCCATTTCTTTGGTGAAAAACTCGTGGTAATTCTCAAGATACTCCGCGTGGAAAAGGGCTGCCCGGAACCAACTATTCCATCGGGTAAGGACTGGAACTGGAGGGAGCTTTTCGATTTTCCCGTTATCCCTCAGAAATTGTTTGAACCTTGCTTTCCGAGCCGGGCAAGCCGTGAAGGCTCTCTTGATGCTGCAGACAAGCTTATTCACCGTGCGAAACGACGAGACCCACTCTTCGCAAACAAGATTCAAGAGGTGAGCGGTGCAAGTCACATGGGTTCCGTTGAGGAAGATGTACTTCAATGAATCTTTCCAAGCTTTGTTCATATACGTAGCATTGTCTGTTACGAAAGCACTAACGCGTAAGGGAGAAATCTCGTATCTTTGCAAAATCTTCAGGACCGCATCGCTGACCGTTTTGAAATTTGTACTTTCCAAAACGTTGCATTCGAGGAGAAATGCCTTCAACGTTGGCTCTTCGACCTCTTCACAACATGGAATCGCCAGAACGTTGAGGATGTAACGATCCTCTCTGTCTGTTGTTTCGTCGCAAACGATCGCGACGGATCTACTTCCTCCGAGAAGTTCCTTCAAGTTCCTGACGTGGACATTGAATGCTTTCGGAAGGTAATTTCGACGAAGATTGCTCGCCCAAGGGATGACCCCGCAAGACTTCATATTCGATTGGAGGAACATCCGCAACTTCGGATTATCGAGGGTATGCAACGGGATGTTAGCGGCCGCAAAAGCTTCAACGAGACTCACAAGCGTCGATTCCTTCTCTAGCTCTGCTTCACTTCGTTGGCCGAGAGCTTCACTCAGACTGACCTGAAGCTTAGCTTTCTTCGATAGAGACTCCTCCAAGGACTTATATCTTCGTTTGTGACCCTGGGTCTCAAGGTGTTTACCGCAGCTGTCTTTCCTCGTATGGTCCACAGCGATATTACACGTGCTACAAAACAGGCGATCCCCCGATGCATGGAATTGATTGTCTGCGAACTCTTTCGCCCGCATTTCGGGGGTCACATGTATGGCCGTTCTGTTCCTTCTTCTCGGAGCGCTCATAATTCGGATGGGGTGGCGCTCGGAAGCGCGGTCTCTTTTATGATCTGCCGCGGAGTAGCCTTATCGGGGGGTCGATTCGTCTCCGAGGCGAGGTTCCATAATCGAATCTTCAACTTACGGTCGGCTCACACAAATGGTCACACGGAGTATCCTACATTTAATCTCGCGGAACTTCCGAGATCGTTCGATTTCACCATCAGATAGCGCTCGCGATTCCTCTGCGTTGTTGACACGGCGAACGTTTCGATCGTTTCTCTGGCCTCGCCGAACGCACACTTGGCGAACATTTCCGACTTGCGCGGCGTCAAGAAGCGCGGACAGACACTCCGCCGATTGCAATCAGTATCGTTTCGCATCTAGTTTCGAAGCTTCTACATTGTCTGCTCGAGCTCCTCCGATACCAAGGTACAAGGAAAATGACTTCAGAGTTGATTAGAGCGTTAAAAAATAATTTCGAATAGAAACACGGAAATTCGCGCACCCGACAAAAAAATGCAGAAATTCGCGCATTTATTCGCGCGTATCGCGCGCGCGATGAATGCCCAGCCCTAACCATTGGGCTGCTCTTACACTTTCTGCTGCTGCATAGAATTCAGACTCGCACGAACTGAGAGCGAAGTTTGATTGCCTTTGTTGGCAAAACCCTGTTAGGAGTTGTCCTGTATTGAGCACACTGAGTGGGTTTCAGTCGGCAGGGGCTCAGTTCGGATGAATTGAAGTTGGGTAGCACGGTGATTGGAGCAGCAGCGGAGCGGGTGAAGTCTAGGGAAGCAGGTCTCTGGAATAACAAGGCAACTGGATGCGGGTGACAGACTGATCTGTGTTTAACACTTTATTTCAGACAGCTTATATAGGGAGGCAAAGGGCTATTTTAGACAAAAGAACAAAGCAAAGCTATTTTATGACGATCATTATATCCAATTTCATCCAATTACATCAAAGTGCTCTGGTGAAACATAAGCAACGCGGTGATTAACAAGCGTAACCGAAAGAACGCTATTACCAGTGAAATACTTGGAGCAATTAGACAGTAGCACTCATTTATCCCAACATTTTCTCCCTTACTGCGTAATGAAACAAAGTAGTTCACAGGGATGAGGAAGAGAGGTGCGAGTATAAAGTTCAATTATCAGATGAGCAAAGCTTACTCATCATCTCTCTTAGGAAATGTTTCTAAGCATGGATCGTATTACCTCTCCTCCATCGGTGTGCAGCGAGAGTGACACCTGGATTTTGGATTCATCCAGCGAGTTTCCTGAGAGTGTCGTTGGCAGTGCGATGACAGGTTCCGAGACGGGCGATTCACAGCAGCCGATAGTGATTGACGAGACTTCCCAGTCCAGTGAGAGCCAGAGGGAACCGAGGGATGGTTTCCGTCAGTTTGTTCGCTTAGTCCGGCGTCGCAATCGTCTTCGTTTCCATCGAGCCTTTGAGGTCGCGAATCTCATTTGGCGAGATATGAATTCGGAAGCGCGCAGACCATTCCGCGAACAAGCCCTTCGTGAAAGCTCAACTCCTCGTCGCTGTAATCACCCTCTGTGTGTGCATCGCAAAGAATATATGAGCAAATTGATTGTGACCTTGGTGGATACCTTGAAGAGGCTTGAACAATAAAAGTGGTGCCGTATTCTGATTATAAATTCAGAGTGCACACTGGGAAATCTATATAAAACCGAGTTTCCTTTGGTGATTAATTGGTGAAGTTTCCCCGAACAACGAAACTATGGAGTTTCTGCGCAGACTCGTAAGTTTCCTGCTGGGAAACCTATTTTTCAGACATTCTCCCTTATTTATATTTGCCTGATATATTCTTATGCACTAGAATCCGTTGTCATCGAAACGAGTACGGTTCGCGGTGTCCCCAAAACGCGATTCTCTTGAGAGGGCGAGGAGCACCGGAGCTCTGGCGAGGAGCACTGGCGCACAGACGGGGAGCAGCCAAGCGGTCTCCAAGACGGTGACCGTAGCGATGGCCGAGTCCTCCTCAGACGCGAAAGAAATTCAGGCGGTCCGGGAAGACAGCATGAGGTCGAGGGCAAATCTGAACAGGCCGACGTCGTTCGACTTTGCGTTGAGCTCCATCATGATCATCTTATTTTTCATTGGAATTTGTGGGTAATCTCTAAGAACGTTACAGCTTCCTTGATTCCGGAATGTTCACTCAATTTGACTCCTGTTTTAAATGCAGGTGTCATCATCAATCCGAGGAAGGCGCAAGAGGACGAGAGGGAGACGTCCGGGCCGATCGAACTAAACACTGCGCATTGTGAGCGCTTGTTGTCCGGTCTCCTGTGTTCGAAAACAGGCGGAAGTTTCTGTATCTTCCTGGAGGGTTTCGACCGAAGAGTTTCGGTCGTAAAAGTCGGGAGCCCGAAGGAGAGCTGGAAAACTCAATGGGAGAGAGAGAGGGCGCGCGAAGTCTGTGGAACGAGGATCATCCTAATGGGTACCCGTTTATAAACGAGACTAACGAAAAAAAATTTAATCATAGTGTCTCTTCGTCTACCCTTCGAAAGGGGGCTCACATCTCAATTTTTCTGTAGCCGTTCCGTTTCAATTTTATGAATAGGTAGGAAACGGAGCCGGATAACACAAGGACGGCGGTCAAGAGAATTCCGGTGGAAATCCACCATCCCGCACTCTGACTCGAGGGAGTCGGTGGCAGAGCAGTGGGCGTTATTGGTGCATTCGACGTTGTA